CAGAAATCAACAAAATGATTTTCATAGAGGCGCGATTGCAGATAGGCGTAATTTAATACTGATCGCAAACATTAAACCCGTGAGTTGGTAAACCTCAATATTATTTTAGCTGCTGGACTCTTTCTCAAAATGATCCCGTCATACGTACGTGCTGTGCCAAACGGTACAGAGATCGGTGATTACTTGGCACTAGATCTTGGAGGCACAAATTTCCGTGTGCTTCTCATTCGGTTAAGAGGCCGAGATGCAGAGATAGCAGGAAAAATTTATGAAATCCCCCTGGAAATTCAACGAGGAACTGGCGAAGCGGTTAGTAATTTATATTATCAGACAAATACATGGAGTGATATTCTTGAAAACGAACCTCGTACTTCTCTGATATGAAGACAAACTAGCTTGTGATCGTTTGCGCAATGAGAAATGAGTTCGCTTTTATAGTTGTTTGACCACATCGCTGCATGTATCGCGCAATTTACTGGGGAGCAATTTCACGGAGAAAGAAAGAAGTTACCGTTAGGTTTTACCTTCTCATTTGCCACCAAGATTGAAGGTCTTACCAAGTACGAAGCTAACATTCCAAATAACTTGTAGCATAATGTGCAAAACCTTCAGGGGCATATTGATACACTGGTCAAAAGGCTTCAAGGCCAGCGGAGTAGAAGGAAAGGATGTCGTAAAATTGCTCAAAAAAGCTTGCAGGAAGCGAAACGTAAGTGCAGCCAAATACCTGATCTTTGTGAAGAATCTACGCAGGATGTTGATATTGATGTCACTGCAATTTTGAACGACACCGTTGGAACTTTAATGGCATGCGCCTTCAAAGAAAACACGTGCCAAGTATGGTTACTTATGTAAAAGCATTTACAGCCTTACTTGGTATGTTTAGATGGGTGTAATCTTTGGGACAGGGACAAATGCCTGTTACATGGAAAAGCTCAACAGAGTTGAAAAATTGAGAGGTAAATGGGAAAGAGACGGACTGCCGGACGAGGTTAGCTGATAAAAAGCTACTAACGAATATTTTGCGCGAGATTCAGATGATAATAAATATGGAATGGGGCGCTTTTGGTGATGACCACTGTCTGGGATTCATCTACACAGACTACGACAGGGAAGTAGATGAAAAAAGCATAAATCCCGGAATACACATGTAAGCTTACACTATCTCCAGAGCAAGAAAGCAGTGATCTCACGATAGCCTGAGGTTTCAACTTTTT